AGATTTTTCAACAAAACGTCATATGTACTTTTACATAACTGAATCATTTTAATTGAAATCGGGTCACATTTTGTTATGCTTAAGATGTTGACAACCACTGACTATAGATTTCTCTACAGTCTTATCGATCGTTCTAGAACCCACGAGAAACATGAGGTGTCATTTCTGGACGGTATATGTTTATGTATGCACTTTGACATTATTTTTTTCTTTTCAATATGATTTATTTGTCGCAATGGCAACAAGAGGTTGTGTAAATGTCCCAAACATATTCTTTTATTATTTGTGGTAAATTTAGATCTAAAGAAGCAAAAGCAAAACATTACAGAGTTCGTCAAAAAAATGTATTGCACGTATTTTGGAATAAAACTTGGGGACCAAGACCAACTATGGGCTCCGTACAAAGTTTGTACCATTTGCCGTTTGGAATTCCAATGGTCTGGTGTGAGCCTAGAAACCACAGAGATGACTGCTATTTTTGCTCATGTAACGTGCAAGGCTACAACACTTGAAATAAAAAGGAAATTTCTTATCAGAACCTTCAATCTGCTATAAAACCTGTTGCTACCTGTACCTACTCCACCGGAGGCTCTTGATACAGTTTCATCTGATTCTGATGTCAATAGAAATGATGATAGGGATTGTTTCAACTTGAGACGTTTGGTGAACCACAACTTTTCACACAAGGTGAACTTAATGATTTGGTGAGAGATTTGGGCCTTCTAAAGGATTCTTCAGAGATCTTGGGGTCCAAACTTCGGGCTAAGAACTTACTTTCTCCAGGGACATCATTTTACTGGTACATAAATCGTGAGAAAGAGTTCATACCATACTTTTCGCAAGAAGGTTCACTTGTTTATCGCAACAATATTGCTGAATTAATACCAATGCTAGGCGTGGCAGTCTATGAACCAAGTGAGTGGCGATTGCTCGTTGATACCTCCAAAAGAAGTCTAAAAGGTGTTCTCCTTCACAATGGTAACATATATGCATCTGTTCCTATTGCTCATTCGGTTCACTTGAAGGAAACGTATGAAAATCTCAAGCTTCTTCTTAATAAGGTCAAGTACAAAGAACGTGGTTGACTACTTTGTGGAGACTTAAAAGTCCTTTGTATGTTGTTGGGTCAACTATACGGTTATACAAAGTTTCCATGTTTTTTTTTGTGTGTGAATGGGACAGCAGAGCATGAAATCAGCAGTGGACAAAGGAGTAATGGCCACGCAGAGTCAGCCTGATACCAGGATCGAAAAACATTGAACGTGAAAGTTTGGTTGACAAAAAGAAAGTCTTTTTACCTCTACTTCACATAAAACTGGAGTTGATGAAGCAGTTTGTAAAGGTCTTAGACAAAGATGGCGACTGCTCAAGTATCTATATGGGCAATTCCCAGCTCTTTCAGAAGCGAAACTTAAAGAAGTGATTTTTGTTGGGCTTCAGATTAGGAAACTGACTTCGGATGAACAGTTCGAAAGGACAATGAGGAAAGTTGAAAATGAAGCGTGGATTGCCTTTAAAGATGTTATTGAAAACTTTTTAGGAAACAACAATGACGATTATGAAAATATTGTCAATAATATGCTCGATAAATTCAAAGAGTTGGTTTGTAATATGAGCTTGAAAGTTCATTTCTTACACTCACATATTGACTATTTCCCTGAAAATCTCGGTGTCATTATCGATGAACAAGGAGAAAGGTTTCATCAACACATCAGGGACATTGAGAGAAGGTATCAGGGAAGGTGGAACATCAGCATGATGGATGATTACTGTTGGTCATTGAAACATGCTCCAGACGCAATACATAAAAGAAAGACCACAACACGAAGTTTTGAGACTAAAAGACGTAGAATTCACACAAAAAAATCAGGATGAATGAGGATGTATATTCGTTTAATATCAATGTTCTTCTCTTTTCTCCAGTTTGTTTGTATTTTTATTAACAAATATAATAATAAAAAATGTTCATTGTGGTAAACGAAATATTAATTTGATCCAAGTAACTGTTTTTTCTTTCTTCCCGATTTGTAAAAAGTCCTTACGTGATAGATAAAAAATGAATATTAATTTCAAAATCTGTGTATCTGAATTATGGAAAAATCCGTTATTAAAACCAAAACAACTTTAATGAAGAACTGTGCAATTAAAAACATTTCGAGGAGTCGAATGTAGTCTGACCTATGATTTCATCACGTTTAAATTATTGAAAAAGTAATTGACAGATGGCAGCACAATATAGACTATCAACTTACATGTTACAGTGTAATACATGGATTTCTAGCGAAATCTTCATTCATGTTTTTAGCTAACTTCTTTTTTTTTCGCCGGCACAGTGGTATGTCTGTGTACTTACAACGCTAGAAACCGGGTTTACATACCTGTGGTGGGCAGAGCACAGATAGCCCATTGTGTAGCTTTGTGCATAAATGCAAACAAACAATCTTTTTTTCTTTGGTTCCGAGGGTATTTATGATCCATTATACAACGGTTTATCAAATTAAACAATTAAATATTAATGTAAAATAATAAAATGAATAACTATTGGTTCAGGTACATTTCTTTTATTTGCTGTATTTAGTGGATAGAGAGAATACAAATGCGTATATTTTTCAAATTAGTATTTAGTTCCAAATCAACGTGGAATATCAATCTTATATTAGTCTTGTGTTTTTACTATACAGAAATCGAGAAGCAAGTTCGCCTTTTGTATATTTATTTACTTTACAATAACCAGTGAAATATTTTTTTCAACATGATTAAATTATACACAGGCAGTTTTATTTAATTTTTTCCTTTCTGTGTATAACTGATTTTGCCGTGGGATTTGTTATTGATTATGAATTAATGTGATGTACAAATGTCATCACCAGTCAAGAGAAAAATAATAATTTTCAAATTCATTATGTTCGTTGTCATGGCTACTAACAAGCGTAAAATAAAAAATGATAACGCAAAGAGCATAATGTTGTGTTTCTTTCCATTTTTTCTTCCGTAGACAACAACTCGCAAGATACCAGCTTTGATAAGAAGGCTTACTAGTGACATATCTGCAAGCCGGAAGCACAGCCAAGCTGTGACCTTGGTTGTACTAGTTATTTTGTTTACTGTATGTGTGGTTCCATTGGTAAGTTTTTTTGTAAGTTTCTGTAGATTTTGTTAAACTTCTTAATCATAAGGCATTAATCAGGAGCATAATTTTACAAAACACTTTGATAACGAAGGAGATTGATCTCGCTTGTGGCCCTACATTATGGCGTAATTTGGGTATGTGTGCTAAACCGGCTTGACTACAATTTTTTGCAGAAACTGTCATTTGAGGCCCCCTTTTGAGCTTGGGGAGCACCGACCCTGAAGCCCTTCCACTAATACCAAACTAAGTTTGACGATCTATCAAATATTAATGCCATTATGAACACTAATACCTAAAGTCGACTACTATTAAGAGTCGACCTGATCTAACACGTACTCTTCGATCAGTGAGAAACAAGTTATATCTTCTCAACAGACGCGACATTTCATGTTTCTTATGCTACAGAGGTAACAAGTAAAATAGCCCACGTACCAAAAAAAAAAAAAAA